AGGTAGAAGTCACAGTTGTCACTTGAAGGAAGCAGATGTGGAGGGAGTTGGGGAACGGTGGGAGGTTGGGAAAAGAGCGGGTAAGAATGAGAGTCGTAGCTTGGGGGGGGTGTTGATGAGCCCCATTTCCAGAGCAGATCTGTAGCATTTGCTGTTGACCTCTTTTGAGATGGACTCTCCCATAGGACCTGTCAGACAGCACTGAGACATGGAGGAAATTCAGACAGAAAATGGCTCACCCTGATAAAGAAGGGGGAGTGACTATATTTTAAATTAAACTTGCTTTTTCCAACACTGTGAGGTTTCTGTAATATTTAGCTTTTATTTGGAAGCGATAGCGTATGGCATTTTTTATGCTATTTGGTTTATATTGTCTACTGCAGGCTTCTTTGTACAAGCTTGGCCCGGGCTCACCCTCTCCTGGACACTGTTTTAAAGTGTCACAGCTGCTCATGCTGCCAGAGGCTCTGAGGTAAAGCTATACTCTAGATCCACATTTTTTAAGTTGGTAGGATTGATGATGACTTCTTATGGCAATGGAAAAGCCCATTAACTCAAAAACAAAAACAAAAAAACAAGCAAAACCCCAAGGAGAGTAAAAAGGAAAATATAAATTGTGCCTCATCTTTCTTTGAATGCTATATTTGTTATTCTAGAAAAAGAGAACTTACAAATGGAAAAGAACTAAATAGAGCATCTACTTCATCCCTCAGGCTGTCCAGGGGGAAATACTTAAGAAAAATGAACATTTAATGGAAAATTCAAAGATCTTCAAGTTTAATTTTTAAAAATAGTTTTATACCAAATATTTATAAGAATTATGAAGCAGGTTTAAGGACTTTGTGAAATAAATGCTTAACTTAGCTGAGCACCCTTGTTATCCAATTAGTGAAATTGTTCGAAATGAGTTGGAGTAGAAACCACCCCCCGAGTCCTCACTGAGCTGCGTACTCTCGAAGGTGCCCCTGCAGTCACAGACACCTCAGGTACCCAGAGGTAGCAGCACTAGACGCTGTTGAGAAGTTAGTATTTATGGAGATTTTTATTAAAGAGTTCCCTGCTGCATAAGCCAATGGCTGTTGTGAGGGAAATGTCCCTTTGCCTTTAATTTATTTACATATTGGAAGTAGATGGATTTTTAGTTGCATCTTACTTTAAACTGAAACATTCTCAAGAGAAGATAAGAACCAGGTAGACGTTGACTAGATGCTGCCAAATCAAACCCGAGATCTCCTAACTGAACCTTACGGGGCCTGCTTCTCCCAGGCAAGTAGTTAGAGTCCCGTTCCAGGAACCCTTTGTAGTTGGCTGGTGTGTTTACTTTCTGCTGTAGCCAGCCAAGATGAATGCACCCTGGCCCTCAAAAAGGATTTTTACCTCAATCTAGTTTGACCCTCATACTTGTGGTTGCCTCTGAGATGAGCAGCCATGCTAGTGTTTTAAAAAAAAAAAAAAAAAAAAAAAAATTTAGGAATGCCCTCAACAGCCAGGAACTGAAGCTCTTAGTAAATGGTGGGCAGAGCTCTTGGCAGTTTTGATCCAGCCCCCTCTCAGGCTGAGGGGGGCAGTGCCACACTGAAAAGAATTTCCAGATGTCTCTTCAAATGTCATGAATAAAATTAGAAACTGTAGAAGTGTTCATGTGTCCTATGGACTCAATAGCAGAGTTTATTTTTGTTTTTAATGGCAAGGCTTCTAGAGTCAATGATTGTATGAGTTCCCTACTCTGGCTACACTTATATAGCTTCATCCAAGTGCAAGAACTAATGACGTGGATTGGCTGGCATGGGGCATGGCCCTGCCCAGGCCCCCGCATAAGCCTGAGAGAAATCAACAGTAGTACAGAAGGAAAACTTGGTTGGGATGGGGGGGGCGGGATGCGGGTGGGCAGGCAGGGAGGGGGGAGATGGAGTTTGTTTTACTTACTGATAAAAGCTTTGTGAACTAATTTTATACAATTCATAACATTTGGTGCCTTGTACCCAGTTACGGTTTGCATGGGATTGAAAAGATTAAGGGAAAGGATGTCGCCTTGTCATTTCGGGTGGCAAATGGGTCTGTATAGTGTAAAGGACATTTGGTATCAGACTTTTTAAAAGCATTTCATCTCATGTGTGTGAAAGATAATTATTCTTACCAGCAAGTTCTAAAATTTTACTGTAATGTCCAAAATCTTTGGATTTGTGACTATTCATCAAATGGCTGCTTTTCAAGGCAGACTATGTACCCCGTTCTTTCTCACCACCCCTTTTATGTTCCAAACATTAACTCGGTCCTTTTCGGGTAGGCTGGGAGTGCTACCTCTTCCCAAACATATACTCTACCCCTTTCGGGTTATACAAAGGGTTATACCTTATGAGTGGAAGGGTTGCTTTTCCAGCTGGTTGGGAGAGCACAAATGTTCAGAAAGGGCCTTTTTTTCTAATGCTGGGCAACTTACAGAAGTCAAACAAAAATCATTCCTCCTGAATCTTACCTTCATTAGTTCTGAAGTTCTTTTGCACAAAATTTCAGGAAGCGGTGTAGTACACAATCCCCTATATGTGAACCTTTAGATTGTAAGGCAAGCCAGTGCACTGTGTAATAAGCAAAAGAGAAGGCTCAAAGAACCTGTCCCAGCCCCCTGGCCCCTTTCCCTGGCAGGCGCCGACTGGGATGGTGCTGAGTGGCTGTGGAAGGGGAGAAGACCCAGTCTGCTCACCGGCAGGGCTGTTTACAGCCTGTTCCTTTTACTCTGACCTTAAGGTTTCCATTGAGCTCATGAGACTTCACCAAAGGGTGTTTTAAAAGCTCACCACCTGAAGCACATTTGATAATTGGTTCCTTCAGCCTAATTAGGTGAGGAGGTCGTACTTTTGGAGCAAAATCTCCCATGGCAACTAAGGTGGTTTTTTTTTACTGGGTAAGTATGCATCTCCCTGGTGGTTCAGATTCTTCTTGAAATCAGCACTAAAGCTGAAAGCGCCTTCTAAGTATGACTGTGAGTTTAGTTTAGATCTTTCACGTTTAACCATTCTCTTGGTCTAGGGCTTCGACTTTAACCTAGTGTTTATTCCTTCAACCCACACATTGCTCTAAATACACCATAGCTACTCTAGCATTGAGGCAAATGGTCATTTTTGTGGACTGTTTCCTTACTTATTTCTGCTGGCATATTTCCATTTAAAATCTAACCAGGTAGTGTAAGAGCTTTCTGTAGTACTGTGTTAACCAGCCAGGGTCCAAAATCATGTGACAGATGTGAAATTGACTTCGCCTGGGGAGAATGTTGTGTTGGAATGGTGAAAGCCAACATTTTAATTTACAGAATTAATGACTGTTCGTCGAAATTCTGGGAAATTGTAGATTTGATAGCTTTACTTGCTAAATTCTTAACACTTTGAGGAATTAAGCCAGTTTAAATGAAACCTTACCTTGCCAGTATTATGGCTTTATAAACCAACTAACAGTAAACACTGTTACTTGAAGCTAAAACATAAAAATTTTGAGTGAAATATGAATTATGCTTTGGAAGCTGCCATGTCTTAATTTTTGCTGGATTTTTATTTTCAACTTTTAAAAACTTTATAAAATAGAACTGTTCACAGTTATGAGTAGATCGGGTCACAGACTTCAAGGATCTGTTTCATACCTATGAAGAAGAGACAGGAGGTGCTGGTATTTCTTGTCTTAGCAGTGGTCTGATGCAGATCTGAAGGGGCTCAGAATCTCATCTATGGCTTAAAAGTTTCCTTCCTGGTCACCATCTGGGAGGTGATGCCTTCAAACCTAAGCCCTGCTCTCGTGTACGTGACCCTTCCTCATCTTAACACCCAGTAAGAAGGGTGTTAACACCTGTCAAATCATCTGTGGTCCCAGTAGATAGATTCTTAGAGGGTACTGGCTTCATGGTAAGCCATCCACAGTCCTGAATTCACACACGCTCAAACTCCTCCCCAACAGATGGGACCTATCTGATTACTGCAAGAGAATGGTGCTTTGTAAAATATATATACACAGTCTAATTCTCAAACAGATTTCTGAGCGAGATTTATGCCGATAAGGTCAAAAAAGTGGACTGTTTTGTCCTATTTACCTTCTGTGAACAGACTGCTAGACAGCTGTCAACTCTTCACAATTAAGGCCACTGTGGAGCATTCATACTGACCCCCCCCCTTTCCATGTCCTTTAATCCCATACCAGTTGCATAGGACACTTGGCATGGAAAAGCGGGATTTTAAAAAATGACTAGTAGATGGGGTGCCTGGCTGGCTCAGTCAGAAGAGCATGTGACTCTTGATCTCAAGGTCATGAGTTCGAGCCCCACACTGGGTGCAGAGAGATTAAATAAACTTAAAAAATAAATAAATAAATAATGCCTAAAATAAATCAACTGGGGAGGGGGGGAATGCCTGGGGAAACTGTCTTTATCGCCACATCTCTCTGAGCCTACATGAGTCTTTTCCATGCCAGTTCTTTACATACTCCATTTCCAAAGAACTCCTAACTCTTGGACAGTTACACTATTGCAAATTTAGGGTCAGAAAACCTCTATTTCCATGTGAAGAAAGCAGCTTCCTCCAGCAGTGTCACTTCAGTGCCCACTGCCCAGGCTTGCTTACACCTTGCCTCCACTGCACATGACTGCCCTCCTTCGACCAACAAATCCCACTTGACGACAGCAACAATGCCCCTCTGGTGCCTGGAAAACCCACCTGGTGCACTAAAATGCTATGCAACACCAAATGGCTTCTTCCCCTAGTTCTGCTCAAAAGTGGAAATTCCTCAAAAATAAGTTTCACCTTATGTTGACATCAATGTACAGTGGCTACAGTTTCCTTCTTTCTTTTTTTTTTTCCTTTTAATATGAAGCAAACCACCTCTGTTACAATCCATGTTTGGGGGCTTGTTCCTGTCTCTGGAGTGTGAAATATAAATCATGTTTTTATGATTTTTGTAAATCTTGACTTTTTACACCTTGTTTTTGTAAGCTGAAGTTTCTTATTAAAAGAATAAAATGATTCTTTGTGTACAGTCTTTATTCCAAATATTTGTTAAAATACCATTAGGTATTCCTCAGGACAAGAGCAAAGATCACCCCCTGCAGAAACTTAGGAACTATGTACAGAACTTTACAGAACAGAGGACAACACTTGGGTTGCAACGTGACTGCTGACCAGAGAACGGAATTCTGAGTGGGCTCAGTGGAGAAAAGGAAATTGGGAAGGGAAGGTGCCCGTCTGAATGAAACTTCAACTTCCATCAGGGCAAGTCTTGTGCCGGTCACAGATTGGAGGCTCTGTTTTTGGAAGGTTCAAGGAGAGCACAGGGGGTCCCATGTGTCTGCAATCAGACCACAGGACAACACGTGACATTAGAACTATAAAAGCACTGGAAGGAAATTAGTAAGAGACTCAAAATTTCTTGCAACATCTGTAAACACATTTAACTAGGAATAATAGCCACGGGACTTCTGGAAGTCTCCTTCCTGTATTTTGTGAATAGATTATATAAATTACTGCTTCTCTCAACCTCTAGAGCTCCTAGACACGCAGAGCAGTAGTTAAGTGCTTACCTATTTGGCTACACCCCTGGCTGAGGTGCCATTAGGTCAATGTCACTCAAATTCCTGGCCAGCCAAACGCCTGCGGCAAAAAGTCCCAAATTGAGGATCAAGTTCCTGGAAAAAGGAAGTTTCATTTACCCTGTGGTCACGGAGTCACTTGTCTTTAGTTAACGAAAGATACTGGGGGAAAAGACTGACCATCACCACCCTGGAAAAACCTTCCGAGGCAAAAACACTGGGTTCTAGAATCGCAGGAACGTAGGGCTTTACAACGGTAGGCTGCCCAAGACCTACATGGTTACTGAGAGTTCGTTTCTCTAGCTAATAAGGGCAGGATCTAATGCAAAGGCCTTAATAATTAAGCACTCGCCCAGGGCCGAAAAGCTTGTTTGTGTTGGCGCCTCTTTTCCCCCTGGTCCCCCTGGTCAGGGTGAGATTCTCTAGACATAGCCAACTAACTCAAAAGATCGCTTCTGTCGCACGAGAACTCTCCCAGTCAAGGACCGCTCCAAAGCACAGCCAAAGCCACTAAGAGGCCAAGATGCTGGCAATATACAGGGGCCAGCCTGGGCCAAGAAGGGAGGTAGAGAAGGTAGGCAGAGGGGCTCGGAGGACCAGAACGGGACAAGTTCCCGGGTCTTCGGTTACCTCCGGAAATCGTTCCTGTCGGTGGCGAAGCGGTAAACGCCCCGGAGCCAATCTCCCACGTTGTCGGGAATTTCGGGTGCTTCATTTGGCGCGCCGGCAGCGCTCACGCCAACCCCGCTGGAAGCCATAGCAGCACCCTCGGGACCCGCAAGGCTTCTCCCGACGCACCGTGTGGGCGCCGGCGCAGCACGCAACTTCCGGTCTCGCACTTCCGCCGGCGACGGGCCGGCAGGGGGCGCCGCTGCTCCCCCGGGGTCGGGCGCGTGGGGGAGAGGGAGAACTCCCGGGCTGCGCGTCCACGAGCTCCGCAAGGCGGGGAGCGCGGCCCCGCACTACCGTCGCCGGGTCGCGTCCCACCCCGGCACCCCCCGGCCTTCGGCTCGCCAACCTGGGCACCGCCACACGTGGTCTCTGAGTGACCACTTCATTGGCTCAGGAAGATGCTGAGCATGGGGCTGTCCTAGCCTGTGGGGGTGAGCCTAGGGGCTAGTTCAGCAGGGGATGCGTAGCTTTGCGGGGTGGGGTTCCCCAAGAAAGTCTCCGTCAGAAGTGATAGATTTTGCAGGCTTAAGAGGGCGCACACCAAGTTTGTGATCTGGCCGCCTCTCCCAGGCGTGCCCCTGATTGCGTTCAGTCTAGGATTTTTAGAGGGGGGGAGGAGAGCCTAGCTCTCCCACCTAACAGATCACATCCCCTCCCCCTTCTCCGGGCTGCGCCACTAGCAAATGGTGCAGTGCTTCCTGGAGGTGTCGCTGTGCCCAGCCTGGAGGCTTCCGGGGGTCTTCCACGGACCGGGAAGGCGCTGACCTAAGAAAAAGCCTTCGGGTTCCGAGTCAGAAGAAGAGGAGCAGGTGGGGCAGGGGGCGTCCTCCTTGGCATCGAGGGGCGTCTCCCGCCCTTTGGTGGGTGCCTCCGCCTCGTCCCCAGCTCGACCCTCCTGCTCCGGACTGGATCGAAGTCGCCCCCTCTGGGTTTCCGGACTGGAGCGGGAGGCAGCGGCGAGAAGGGCTGCCCGGGAGATGGTAGCGGCGTCCAGCGGGGCGCAGTCTCCCTCTGCAACTCTCTCGAGTCTCGCCTCCCCTGTTCCGGGCCGGGTCAGAAACGCCCATCTCAGAGCCTGGAGTCTCCCTCTCCCGGATCCGAGCGGGGCGGGCCCAGAAGCCAGTTCCAGCCAGGATCCGGCCTCCCGCCCCGCCCCCGAGCCGTGCGCGCCGCCGCCGCCGCCGCGACTCCTCTCCCGGGCTCCCCCGCCCCTCCCCGCCGCCGCCCACCAGAGGGCGGCCGCGTCCCCAGTCCGGGAGCGAGTCCCGCGCCGCAGCCCCAGCGGTGGCGCGGGGTGGGTTCGGGAGGCCCTTGGAGCGCTCCGGCCAGGGACGCGCGGTGAGAGCTGCGGGCCCCGAGGCTCGGGTCTGGGGGGTGCGGTGCGGTGACGGGGGCGCTGCTGGAGGGACGGGACGGCGTGGGACCGGGGCGAGGGTCCCAGCCCGGGAGAATCCCCTCCTCAGCCCAGCCCAAGCCGCTGCCCCCTTCCCCCTTGATCTGCACCTTCTCCCTTACCAAGCGGCGCCCTCCCTTCCAGTGTTGGGGCCTGGCTCGAGCCGGCATTCGAGTAGCGACTCTTAAAGCAGCGGGGGCAGCAGGGGCGGCCCCCCGGCAAGGCATAACGTCCCCCGCCCAAGGGCCCGGCGCAGTCCTGGCAGCAGAAGTGGTTCTCGTGCCAGCGCCGTCCCTCCGCCTCGGTGCAGCGCCGGGAGAAGATCAGCTGGGAGAGGGAGGGAGAACAGCTCATTCATTCATTCATTCATTCACTCATTCATTCACCCAGTAACCACGCCTTATACCCAGTTAACGCTAAAGCACGTCTACAGACATCCCATTTGATCTACTCTTCCACTCTCGGATGCAGGGAGGGCTGATTGGCCTAGCCAGAATCCCGCTAGCAGGTGGCACAGCCTGAAGAAGAGAGACCCCGGTCGCCTGGACTCCCAACCCAGGGTTCCGCGCGGTCTCTTATGCTGACATTATGGCAGGTCCTCGCCTGATCAGGCACAGCACTGGGCACCCGAGATGAACGGCTGTCCAACAGTCCCTGCTCCGGAGAAATTCTCTCAGTCCAAGAAAAGCTGGGGGACTCCGTTTGCAGTGGGGGAGGGCACAAGGCAACGGGTCCCCACGCCCAGAACTCAAGGTCCCAGGCTGGTTCTGAGTTCTTCGCTCCGCGGTACTGGCAGAGGTGTCCCCTTACACCCTGCCACGTTGGGCCCTGGGCAGCCCCCTCCCAGCAACCCGCGTCTGGCCCGTACCTGGTCGCAGGCCGGGCAGCGCGGCCGCAGCAGCTCTGCGTGATGACGGCCGCAGTAGAGACGCCCGTCGTGGGAGAAGTAGATGAGGTGTAGCAGGGCCTGGCCGCAGGCCTGGCAGGCAAAGCACGCCGGGTGCCAGCCGCGCCGCTCTCCGGCCGGGGCTGCGCACACTCCGTACTCGCCTGGCCTCAGCGGCTCCCTGCACTGCCAGGCGGGGGGCCGGGGGGGGGGGGGCGGGTTGCTGGGCTGCACAGAGGCCACACTCGCTCCTAGCTTCCCTCCTGGCTCTTCCACCCCAACCCCAACCTAACTGTTCTCCCCATACGCCCGGCAAGCCCACCTCCACTGCAGGCCCCACCCAGAACCCCTAAACTTGGCTTCTCTTTTTCAAGTGGGCCAAACTGTCAATCCCCAACACCCGCCCCCCGCCGGCCCCCCATCCCTGGAGCTCGCCCCTTCTGCAGAAGTGAGAAGGCAAAGGGGAATGGGGGAGGGCACTACATACCTTCTCACAGGTGTGTTCTGCCAGCTTGGGAGGTACCAGGCAGGCCACCCCCTGTCCCAGGGCCTCCCGCCTCCGCTGGGCACAGAAGAGCCGCAGCTCGGCCAGCTCATCCTCCCCAAGGGCCAGGCAGTAGCGCTCCTGCAGAAACAGGCCTCCACTGAGACTGGGAGAGCCCCAGCAGGCAAGACTGGAGCTTGACTGGAGGGAGAAGGCTTAGCTGCTGGGTCAAAGGAAGGTTGTAGAAGCTCCCGGAGGTGCAGAAGATAACAGCGCAGAAGGGCATTGAGAAGGAGAGGGAGAGAGGGAAGAGAGATGGAGGGGTCTACCCCAGTCTCACCTCCCCCCAGGAATGGCCACCACTCAGGTCCTGACAGCCCACAGCACTGAGCCCTGTCACCACAAATTTAGATCCCTACCCCCAGTGAGCTGGGGCTCACTATCACTTTCTGTTGTTTTTCCAATTTATGCCACGTTCTCCTGTCTTGCCCCCCTCCCTCCCGGAACTGAAGTGTAAGCCTTTAGTCTGGGCACACATAGGGCCTCAATAAATACTTGACCACACTCTCTACATTGGTACATTCCATTATTGGTTTCAAAAGTGGTTCATGTCCATTTTCTCATTTGCTCTTCAACTAAGCATTGTGGGCAGGGCAGATGCTATTGCACCCATTGTGTAGACTTGAAAACTCAGGCTGGGGATGGGGGATGACTTCTCCAATCAGTGGCATAGCCAGCCAGGCCCTAGATCCATGTTCTCTGGCTTCTGGACCCACAGTAAATAGAGAGAGGGAGGTGAGAGCTCGGGACGCTGGAGAGAGGGAGAGACCCACATCACTGTCCTGTGGAGGCAGCTGCTGCAGGAGGATCCGAAGCCCAGGCCAGTTGGAGGCCCCGCCGGTGTCCAGGCCAGGGAGCCCCAAGCTCAGAACTTTAGGATCCTGAGGAGATGCAGCAGGAGAGGGGTGGTTAGGTTTGCCTTCCTCTTCTTTCCTCCCTCCTCACTGCCACCTCTTCTCCAATCTGGAATGACTTCCAAGCACCCCCTCCTTCAAGATCAAGATAAGGACAGCTGATCCACTCTGGCATCTGTGGTCTGATTGAGGCAGGTTGGGGAGCCCCCACGCCCCAAAATGGAATCCTTTCTTATGCTTTAAATCACCCCTCTTTACTTCATTGGGCCAAAGCCTACAGTCTGCTTTGACAACACAGACCACCCCCCCACCCAGAGATAATGTGTATTCATGTAGGTAAGTTTAAAGTCAAACCCCCGGTCTCCCATCCTGAGGGGGCTGTAGAGACAGAGATTCCTGCAAAGAGAAAAGGGCCATGGGAGGCTGGGCACAAAGGCTAACTACCTTCCAGGTGGTGGAAGTGGGAGGAGGTCTGTAGGATGGAGGGCACGTTGGGTCTCAGAGGGAAGGGAAGGGCTCCCACTACCTGAGCAGACGTCTCCTCAGGGTGCTCCTCTGGCAAGTGGCCTGGGTCACTGTCTGAGTTGGCTGGAGGACCTGGCTCCTGAGGGCTGAGGCTCTCCCCCTCGTGGGGCCAGTCAGAGTTCAGCCCTGACATTGTGACAAAGTCTGCCCAGAAAACAAGAACACCTTCCATTTATTGGCCCCTTACAATGTGCCAGGCCATGCTAAGTGCTCTGCAGGAATTATCTCCTTCCATCCTCCCAACAACCAGAAGACATGGGTGGTATTCCTGTTCCCATTGTATAGATGGCTACACTGAGGCTCAGGGAGCATAAATGCCTGAGGTCACATAGCTACTAAGTGGCTGAGCCAGATCTTGAGGCCAGGCCTTTCGGCTCCAGAGTTTCTGAAGCTCAAATTCTGGGGTTGCCCAAGATTGGGAAGGAGGCAAGAGGAGGCTTTTCTAGTGAGCCTTTGCGCAGACTGGCCCCTTCCCCGCCTCCCCAGCCTTAACTCCGCCATTCCTCATTGTGCACTGACTACCCCAGTGAGCCTGAGTCCTCCACACCCCCAACACAGGCCCCACTTTTCCAGCTGTAGGCTCAGGCCAGGTAAAAGGACCACGTCACCAGGAAGCCCTTCTCAGCCCTTCTCAGCCCCTCCAGCCAATACCAGCTCTCCCTTCCCTGAGCTCCAGAAGTACGTACAGTCTGCACCCCGAGGTTTCGTACTAATGTTTCTCTTTGTGCCCTCTGCCCGTCTCAGTTCCTCATCTAGTCTCTAAGCTCGAGGACAGAGGAAAATCTTGTGCTTCTGGCTTCTACCTACAGCAGCAATTTCCAGTTTCACCGGATAATTCTCAACACATCTCTCCAGCCCTCCTTGGGGCCGGCCCTAGCAGGACCAGAGTATCTTGGGGGTGGGGGTGACTACTGAAGTAGAAAAGGGATGGGCCCTGCCCTCAAGGGGCTCATAGTCCAGTGGCTAAGAGATGAGACCCGGCAGAATGAGGCTGGGGCTCTGGGCAGGTATATACAGCACCTTAGGAAGAAAAAGAACCAGAGCAAACTTTTCTATAATGTTTACTTTGTGCAAGGGACTATACTAGCATTTTACATACTATAATGCATCCTCAAAACAATCCTATCAGGTAGTTTCTGTTATCCCATTTGATGGTTGAAACAAATTGAGGTAAACTTGCCTAAGGTCACACTAGAAAGCTGAGGGATGTCCTAGGTTGAGGTTGCCTTTGAGATCCGGGATGGATTCTGACAGCAGCTGGGCACAGGAGGGCCTCACCAAATCCCAGGTCTCTAGAAGACCCAGCTGTGGAGTTGGGAACAAGGTTTGGACTGTAACAGTTACATTGCTTCCCAGCCCTGAGCACCCACCCCCGCACACCTTCAGACGTCCTGAGCCACCCATCCCTGCTTCCACACCCATCTGCTTCCTTCCTGTTCTGTCCCTCTGGTCAGTTTCCTGTGGAAAGCAGCCACGATGGGCTGTTTACGTTCAGGGCCAAGAGGAACCACTTCCCCTAAAAGCACCGCCCCTGCTCCAGGCAGCAAGAGGCGTTTGGGAGAGGGTCCGGCACAGAATAGGGGCCATCTGGGACCTCAGAGTGGATTTGCACCCTCTCTTCCAGGTTATAGTTTGTATGAAATTGCCGCCCACAGAAACAATGCTCAGAAATCAGCTCTCACCCCTCACCCTTCCTCCCCCCGCCCCACCTCTACTCAGCACTGGACCAGATCTTACTAACACGCTGGATTCCTTCAAGAATTACCCTCCCCTCAGGGCTGAACCCCTTCTGCCCCCCCCCTCCCCGCGCAGGTGCAACCGGGCTCAAGAGTTCCACCTTCCCAATTCACCCCTGCCTTCGAGGGCAGAGCCGGCGCGGCCCTAGGGACTGGGGAGGTAAAAGGATGGGAAGGTTTCCCGCGGACAGTGAGAGGGAGAAGAGAAGTGTCCGGTCCTGCCAAGTACCCTCTCGACAGATCCCCAAAGTTTTTTCTTGGACTTCCCCGGGAGTCCGCTGGGGTTCCCAGTCTGGCTGCTGGGAGTTTACGGGAGGGAATGGGATTCCGCTGGGGTCTCACCCTCGCTGCGCGCCGGTGTCCGGGCCGTTCTGGACAGACCCCGCCGTCGGTCCCCACACCCAGTCCCCACCCCGAGGCCTCCCCGACTGCCTCTGCCCGCCCCGGGAGCGCCGCCCTTCCTCTCCCACGCCCCTGCCCGCCCCTCCCGGACTGGCAGAGCTGGCGGCTCGGGAGAGCCTCTGGAGTTGCAGCCTGAAGGAAAGAATTTGGGGGATCTCAGGGTGGAAAGTGTGCAGGCTCCACTGCCCCCCTCCCCACTTCCAGGGGTTTAGCGCCGGTACCGCGCCCCAGCGGGGACAGGGCAGACACCTGGGAGCCGAACAGAACGCTTTTCGGAGCGAGCAGGTCCCTCCCAGACCCTCCGGCGGGTCTTCTAGCCCCGCCCCTCTCTGGATGTCCTCACCCTCACCCAGTTGCCTCCGCCTGTCCCCAGCCCTTTTTTAGGGATCCCTCGCCTTGCCCTTCTCCCTTCTGTCCCTTCAGGCCCTTCCCCCACCTTTTTTGTCTCTCCCCCACCCCGGTCCCTTTTCTGATCCCGGGAGTGGAAACCTCTGGTCCCATCTCCGGTTCCCTCCTCAGTCCCGCCCCGCGTCTCGCGCCCCGCCCCGCCCCGCCCCGGCACCGCTCCGCCCCGCCCCCGCCCCGCTCCGCCCCGCCCCCGCGGGGCTAGCTTCGCGGTTGGCCCGGAGCGCCCTCTGGCGTCTGCGCATGCTCCCTGCTCCCGACTGCAAAGTCCTCCAAAGGGACCTTCTAGGCTGCGCGCCGGTCGCCCCCGATCGGGTCCGCCCGCCCGCAGCGTCTCGTTGGTGCTGCCGGTGACCTCCGACCCCGCGGCCGCGGGGCGGGGCGGGGAGGTCTTAGCTCCGGGCGGGCGGCGGCTGCTGCAGCGGGACCCGGGAGCGGGGCCCGACGCCGCCCGGGACGCGGGGCGATGTGAGTCGGGGCGCGGCGGGGCGGGGACGAGGCGGTTCCACCGAGGCCGCACCGCGCCGCGCCACAGTCTCCGCTCCCTCCCGAGGAAGCCCTGGGCGGGCGGGCGGGCGGTGGAGTCCCGGGGCTGGGGGCGGGGATCCAGGGACGGCGCGCGGCCCCAACCTCCCCCATTGCTTCCCGGTATCTATAGAAATTCCCCTGACAACCCCGCAACCTAAATCTGTCGCTCACTCCCCAGAACCACCCCACCCCCACCCCCCGGACACACCTTCGCTTGTCCTGGAGCCCTTGGAACCCCCTCAGTCCTGCGAATTCTCCTGATAACGCCCGCAGAGCCACCATTCTCCGGGATGCCCCCAAATGCTTCCAGAGCTCTGCGGTTCCTCTGATCCTGCATACGCCCCATTCTCCCTGCACCATGCTTAAATGCAAAAAACTTGCCCACGATTTCCCGAGCTCTCTTATATTTTGAGTCCCCATAACCTACCCTGACACTCCCATCTCCAGTCCACACCTATCCCAGACCAGAGCCCCTTGTTCCTGTCCCAGCCAATGTAACCCCCCCCCCGAAGTGTCATGATATATTCTGATATCTTAAAGACATGTCTTAAAGGCACCCTCCCCCATCTTGCAACCCTATAATTCTTGGTTTCACCCCAACTCCCTGTTGGTGGCTCAAGCCTCAGTATTTTCCCAGCTGCCTGTCTTTAGGCTGCGCACACCTCCCTCAGCCTGCTTCCTTCTAGAGAATAAGCCAGACCAGGAGGGTCCTTTAACCTGGGAAGTTGTAGGTGGAAGCAGAGCACAAGAGGCCCTGGGAAAAGATACTGCCTTTGGAAAGCAGAAGGGTGGGATTTCAAGGATCTCCAAGGTTCTGGCTTGTCAACTTGTCCACCTGGGGCTCAGATCTCTGAAATTTTGATTTATTATTAGCATTTATGTTAGAATTTTAGGCCTTTTGGAGCTTGGGGGACAGAAAATTTGTCAAGCTTCCAAATGTGAGATTGAGGGAGCTTAGCTTGTCCTGGAAGAGGCACATGTCCATTTTCGTGATCTTTTTCCTATGTGCTTACCTCTAGAAGTTATTTAAGGGAGAAGCCTCACCGTTTACAAATGTTTCCCTTGAAAACTAAGGCCTTGAGATGGGAGGTGGGGGATTGCCTTGCCAGAGTCTCCCAGATAGTGGCCACAAAACAGACTAGAATATTGGTTTCCTGAATCTTAAGCCAGCGTTCTTTCCAATACATCACAGTGTCCTTTTGAGAAAGTTCTCTGTAGAGTTAAAGTTCTCTGCAAAGGTAAGGTGGTGGTTTTGGTGTTGGCTGTAAGGGGATTCAGATGGGTTCTAGAGGCAACTGAAAAGGCGCCTCAGACTTCAAAATCATTGCTACTAGGGGAGTCACTCACTCTCAGGGCCTGTGGGGCTTGGAATTCGTGGCCCCTTTGCCCTTGATCTCACTTTCTTCGTTGTGTTTCTGTCCCATTAGGACCTGGAACAGATATCCAGGTGGGATGGACTGACAGCAAGTGAGTTTCATTAACAACTGGGGGTGAGGATGGAAGGTTTCCACTAACCTGTGGTCTCTATCTCCTGTGCTAGGTGAGCTCCAGGTGTGTCCCAGAGGGATCCAGGTGACTTCTCTGCAGACTACTTGTCATGATGCCCCACCAAGAACAGGGGGAATAAAGTGGGGGTCCTTCCCCATGCCCCTCCCATGGTCAGCTCCCCGATGGCCTGGGTGAGGTGAGAGCTGTGTATAGGAGCCACTTTTCTGGAGTTTTCCAAATTGGGCGGAATGGGGGATACAGGTCAGGATTGTTTAAGACTTTACACATACAGTGGGAGTTTTGGAAGAATATCTGATCTTACAGATTCTTTTTATTTAAAGATATATTTATTTATTTTAGAGAGAGAGAGAGAGAGGGAGCACAAGCAGGAGGGGCAGAGGGAGAGGGAGAAAGAGGCACCTAAGCAGGCACCATGCTCAGCGTGGAGCCTGATGCAGGGCTCGATCTCATGACCGTGAGATCACGAACTGAAATCAAGAGTCAGAGGCTTAACCCACTGAGCCACCCAGGTGCTCCTTACAGATTCATTTCTTGCATCAAGTTGCAGCCCCTTCTGGTTGGGATTGTTTTGTGCATTTGTTTGCTCCCTTAGGTCACTCCAGCTTGGTGGTCTTCTTCCCATTCTAGACAGAGGCCCAATTATTGTGACATAAAATCCAAGTGCTGTAATCTTGGAGGGAAAAGTCAGATAGTAAGGCCTCTGGTCTCCCCCTTAGACAAGGGAGCAACCTGAGCATTTATTTTTTTAAGGAAGAAATACCTAGTCAAGGTTTTAAAAAAATGTGATCTGTTACAAGTTCAGTCTTCTTACTGTATCTTTTGAGCATGATGTGGTGCCTCATGGAAGAGAACATCAGAAAGATAAATTTGAAGTAGATGTTGGGATGGTGGTGAGGGAAGAAAAGAGAATTTGGGTGATGTGGGAAGGGTGAGGTGGAAAAGAAGGGGGAAAAAAAAGGAAGGTCCAGGCCAAAGTGTGGGGGACCCCCAAGTTACAGTTTCTGTGCTGAATCTGGATGAAGGACCAGGACTGGCACCCTCTGAAGTTAATCACTTCTTCTGGTCCCCTGCCTTTTTATTTATTTATTTATTTGAGAGAGAGGAAGGAAGAGAGAGCGTGAGTCGGGGGAGGAGCAGAGGGAGAGGGAGAAACAGACTCACACTGAGCATGGAGGCCGACGCAGGGCTTGATCCTACAACCCCAAGATCATGACCTGAGCCGAAATCAAGAGTTGGACACCTAACCGACTGAGCCACCCAGGCGCCCCTCCCTGCTTTATCCATGCTTTTCCTGCTGCCCAGGCTTCCCTTCGCTTTCATTACATCAGTCAAAATCCTCCCTTCTCAAGGTCCAGATCAGATGTTACCTCTGAGAAGCTCTCTTCCATCCCTCTGTCAGCATTAATCTTTAACACATCCTGACTTGAATGTTTATTCAGTGCATGTCTGGCCCTGGATTGAGAATGTGAATTAGAGGAGGGACAGCGTCCTACTATGTCCAAGAGTAGGTGATCACAACAAGGTGGTTCTGCCAGAGTCCCCAGAGTGGGGCTCTTCAGAGCTGACCTTGATGACCTTATCCCTTACGTTTTGCCCTAGGGCGGACTCGCTGCTCTGACACCATGGGGAGCTGCTGCAGCTGCCTGAACAGAGACAGCGTCCCGGACAACCACCCCACCAAGTTCAAGGTACCCACGGCTCCCTCCTCTCCCGAGCTCCCAGCATGGCCTCCCGGGCTCAGGCCAACCTGTCCAGTTGCCTTTGCCTCCCTAGAGAAGGTGAAGTGACAGGCTGAAGTGGTGGCTCCTTAAGACTCCTCAGGGGCCCAGGCCACTGTGCATTGTGTGGCTCTCTTATCAAGAATGAAGACATACTGGGATGCAAAAATCGTGCTTTTGGAACATTCACTCCCAGTATCCCTTTTTAGCTTTACATACAATTTTTTTTGGAGAAACCCAACAAAAGTCTACGTGTGTGAGTTAATATACATAAAGTATGCGTAACACACAGTAAGGCCTATATTAGCGTTTGCTGTTGGCTTTGGGAAGCTAAGGCCAGGCGCAGTGGAGCTGGGCACCCCCTGGCCCCTGCCACCACTCACCTCCCTGTAGAGGCGTCCCCTCCTCACCCCCAGCTTGTTGAGGCACAGCTTCTCCTGCTCGCCAGAAGAGGGAGCCCTTGGCAAGGTCCTCGAGTTGGGGAGGTGGTGGAGGAGGTCTGTGTTCTGTGGCCCGGGGCCTTAAGATTTTGAGCTTGCAACCGAACCCGCCCTCCATTAGCATCCGGTCCTTGGGCACAAGCCGTGGACCGTTGAGGTCCTGTAACCTTGGTCATCAAACCGTCTGACCTTGGAGGTCAACCGACCGCCCCTCCCTCACTGCCCGAGTAACAAGGCTGAGGCCTAGGGAGGGGCGGTGGGTCAGTGGCGCTGCTTCATCCGCTTGGGCTCCCGCTGCCACGTGGCTCAGGGACCCCTTGTTGGACTCCCCCGCTGACCCTCCTGGTCCCTGCCCGCCAGGTGACGAATGTGGATGACGAGGGGGTGGAGCTGGGCTCCGGGGTCATGGAGCTGACGCAGAGCGAGCTGGTGCTGCACCTGCGTCGGCGCGAGGCTGTCCGCTGGCCCTATCTCTGCCTGCGGCGCTATGGCTACGACTCGAACCTCTTCTCCTTTGAGAGCGGCCGCCGGTGTCAGACGGGCCAGGGTGAGTACAGCTCCTGGCGCGCGCTGGGCCGGGGGCTTGTGCGCCTGCGCCGCTACCGGGGCAGGAAGCCAGAGCTCGGGACCGTGGGCGAGCGTGTTGCCGTGGCAGGTGCTGCCCGGAGAAGGGAAGCGTGATGGCCAAGAGCGCGGACTAAGTGGACTCCCAGGCCAGTGCTCGCTTTCCTCAGGCACTGCGGCTGCGGCCTGGGTCCTCTCTTGGGGGCATTCGTTGCACGGGCCCGTGGGAAAGAGCCAGTATTCCCAGGCCAGAACCCGTCTGAAAGCAAGCGATTCCTCCTTCCTCGGTTATTCCAGTTTCGAGGGTACCCTTTGTCCCCTCTGTAGGAACAGACTTTCTTCTGAGCCCCCAGGTCATGTACCCTGGAGCCTGTGAATAATGACGACGGGTCAGGCTGGAAGCTTTGCTTACCTGGCTTGGGAATGATAGGCTTGGGGAGGCCGGACTCTTTGGGTCTCTGATGTACAGACTAAGCCCCGAGAGGTTAATCTTTGTCTCCTGTCCCCTGGAATGTGAGGTGTTCTTCCTTCCTCCCCTTCGTCCCCGCAGCCAGGGGTCAGAGAGTAGTGGTCGTTTCGGGAAGTCAAGACTCCTTGAAGGAGGAGCATGGTCTGGGCTTATCTCATAGAGCCCAGACCTGAGCTCTGCAGAAGGAACCCAGCCCGGGCTTGCATTAGATGCAGTCAGGGCTGTGACTGCGGGGGAGGCGTGAACAGGCTTCTCTGGTGAGGCCACCGTCACAGCAGTGAGTCTCTTACGTGCTGTTGCCTGGGAGCCTTCCCCTCCACGTGTCTTCCCCTTTGGGCTCCTGAGGCAGAGGAGCTTACACTGGCTGAGCAGAAAGAGGACAGGAAGGGACTTCTCATCGTGGTGTTTCGCCCACACTTGGGATTCCAGAGGGGCGGCCCTGGGCCCCCTACACCGGCTTCTCCTAAAACTCCAGGCTTTCCCATCCTTTCCTAGCCCCTGATATACCTTGCCAGAAAAGTCGTTTTCCTTCTCCTCCCTTCTCTCCTTGCTGTCGCATTCCTGCAAACCTCAGTTGTCCCATATCCCAGGCTGGTTTTATTGATCTTTGTTGTGGATATATGCACACACGCACCCCAAGTAGCCTCCCCGAAGTGCCAGGCCCTACTGTTGCCAGGATGGGGTGTGCAGAATCTCAGGCTGGCCCGACACCCCAGGGGCATCTCTGGAGCCCTTGAATCGCAGGTACTCAGCCCAGTGCCGCCGTCCCTGGGACTGGGAACTGCTGCGTTGCAGTCTGAGGGGCTCTAAGGGTAGCTGCATGAAGAGCCGCCTGGTGGCCTGGCCCTGTGTGCCCTAGCGAGTCTGCCCATTCTTTCTTCCTTTCTGTATCAGGGGCCTATCCAAAGTAGACGTCTGTCTCTGGCCGGGCACTGGGCTAAGTGCCCAGTGAACAAGCAGTGAACAGGACAGACTCTCCTGCCTTCAAAGAGCTTGGACATGGTTGGGCATCAAGCCGAGGGTTGGGCTCGATTTTCTCCGGGCAGCAAAGGGTGGTAGGCGGAGGGAGATGGGGGCCTTGTGTGAAGTGGAATAGTCACTCATCTGACACAGTGGCGCCCCCACCTTATCTGCAGGGGAGACCCCCAGGGGGTGCCTGAAACCACAGATGGTACCGAACCTGTACATACTCTGTATTTTCCTATACACGGTGAGAGGTTAACAACAATAATAATAAGGTAAAACAATTAGAGCAATGTACTGTAATGAAAGTTACGTGAACGTGGTCTGTCTCTCAAAATACGGTACTACGCTCACCCTTCTTGTGAAGATGTGGGAAGATAACATGCCCACGTGATGCAGGAAGCGAGGGGAGTGAGTAGGCAGTGCAAGGTAACGGTAGGGTCCTGCTGGCGTTCTGACAGTACGTCTGCTTCCGGACCCCGGTTGACTGGGGGTCCCCGAACCCGCAGAAAGCAAAACTGTGGATAAGGGGCAGCTACTCTCCTTTTTTGCTTTGATGTTGACTTCTCCCCTCACCTGTGAACATGATCGAGCCGTGGAGGAATGCAGGTGAGGTATGAGATCTCTAGCCGATGGTCATGGTTAGTGGGGGGGACAGCAGGGGGCCTTGGGCCCAGCTCCTCCCAGAGCTCTTGGATCTTAGGGTGTGCTCTGGATGAGGAGGGGCCCTCCTGCCCCCTGCAGGCCTGGGACGTCATGCGTCTATTCAGCCTCTCTGGTGCTTGCCTGTTGGTACATGGTCAGAGGAGCCTCAGTTCTTCCTCTCCTCCTTCAGGGATATTCGCCTTCAAGTGCTCCCGGGCCGAGGAAATTTTCAACCTGCTTCAGGACCTGATGCAGTGTAACAGCATCAGTGTGATGGAGGAGCCGGCCGTCATCACCCGCCACAGCCACCTGCCTGAGCTCGGCCTCCCTCGGGCACCACAGCCTCCCACTGGTGAGGAGACCCCCCTCCTCAGCCTCCACGCCTGTACACACGGGCACAGGCCCAGGAAGTGCCAGGCCTGGAGGCACAAGTCAGGCAGGCAGGTGGGACAGCTGGGCGACCCAGCCTTCCAGGACAGTCACCTGCCATCTGATGACTCTTGGGGATGAATAAGTCCTGGTCTGGGCCAATCAGGTGCCTCAGGCTGAGGCTGGGGAGTCCTGGGCCTTGTAATGACTGATGGTCTGGGAGCAGACAGGAAGACATTGAGTTTCCATGGAAACTGCAGTCTGGAGCTATTTTGCTTCCTTCCTTCTGTCTACTGGGTCATACCCGTCTACCTTTCCTGACTGGGTGCAGGCATCTTTGCCTGTGACTGTTTTTCTGGAGAGGCTCCCACACCTTCTGCTTGTTTATTCCCTGAGTCCACACTGAGCTCCTGCTTGGTGTTCTGCTCTCCATGGGCTGGCCCGTGGTGGGGCAGAAGATAGAGAAATGCAGTCCCTGATGTCTGGGAGCTTCCCTGGAGCTCACTGGCAGAGCTAGAATGAGGTGAAGGGACAGTTCAGTGATGACAAGGTGGCCTTAAGTGTTTTAGCTAAGGCTGGACTGGGGGAAGTGGGGCTCACGCTGAGCTTTGAGGGAAGGGGCAGGGTTTGAAGAACAGAGAAGTGAAAGAGAATGAGGGCTGCCGGGTCAGCGGGGCTAACCACCTGAGGGGCCCTTGGAGTGTCTCCCCTCCCCCAGAGGACTCCCGGGATGCCACATGCACAGTCGCAGGTGGTTGTCAGGTGGTGTAAGGACCCCCCCCCACCCCCGACGTGGGCTTGTCTCCTGTGTGCCCAGCTCTAGGTTACACTGTCTCCAGCTTCTCCAATGGCTTCCTTGGCTGCCCGGGAGAGGGCCCGAGATTCTCAGCTCCCCGGCGCCCCTCGACAAGCAGCCTGCAACACCCCTCGCTTGGGGAAGAGTCCACTCATGCCCTCATTGCCCCTGATGAGCAGGTGAGCAAGCAGCTGCCCTGCTCCTCCCCATTGGTCTGGGTGGGGAGGGGGGGGGTCGGGAAACATGGCCCCTCCTAAGGATCATGGGAAGGGAAGAGAATGGATAGGGTCCCTTACTGTCCAGAAAAGGGTTGCAGCTTCCCTGGGAAGTTTGGAGGACCAGGAAGAGAGGGAAACTCTAGCTCTTCTCCCTGTGCTTCTCTTATGCTGTCCCTTCTGCTCTCTCCTTCTTCCCTGCCCTTGCGCCCTCCTGCTTCACTCGGACCCCTTCCCCCAGTCCCATACCTATGTCAACACGCCAGCCAGTGAGGATGACCACCGCAGGAGCCGGCATTGCCTGCAGCCCCTGCCCGAGGGCCAGGCGCCCTTCCCCCCACAGCCCGGGGGCCCTGACGCTGGGGACCCCCAAGTGTTCCTGCAGCCGGGCCAGGTGAAGTTCGTGCTGGGCCCCACCCCTGCTCGGCGGCACATGATGAAGTGCCAGGGCCTCTGCCCCAGCCTGCATGACACCCCCGCCCACAACAACAACAACGAGGGCGCTTCCGAGTGCCTGGCCCAGCCCAAGTGCACCTACGAGAACGTCAGCGCGGGGCTGCGGCCAGGGGCCGGCTGGAGACTGAGCACGGAGGAGCCGGGTTGGAACGGCCTCGCCCGCCGGGCCGCCCTGCTGCACTATGAGAACCTGCCCTCCCTGCCCCCTGTGTGGGAGAGCCACGCCCAGCAGCTGGGGGAGGAGGCTGGGGATGACGGAGACTCGAGGGACGGCCTCACTCCCTCCTCCAATGGCTTCCCTGATGGCGAGGAGGACGAGACCCCACTGCAGAAGCCCACCAGCACCCGGGCTGCCCTCCGTAGCCATGGCAGCTTCCCTGTGCCGCTGACCCGCCGCCGAGGCTCCCCGAGGGTCTTCAACTTTGATTTCCGCCGGCCGGGGCCCGAGCCCCCCAGGCAGCTCAACTACATCCAGGTGGAGCTGAAGGGCTGGGGTGGAGACCGCCCCAAGGGGCCCCAGAACCCCTCGCTCCCCCGAGCTCCCGCTGCCGCCGCCCACCCTCCCCGCAGCTCAGACTCCTACGCCGTGATTGACCTCAAAAAGACCGTGGCCATGTCCAACCTGCAGAGGGCGCTGCCCCACGACGATGGTACTGCCAGGAAAACGCGGCACAACAGCGCGGACTTGCCTCTGTAGGGACCCCTCGCGCCCCGCCTCGCGCTCCGTCCCCTGAACCCACGCCCCGGGTTCCAGGTTGCTTTGCAGAAGGGCGCCGAGGTGGAACTAGACGCTTCCCAGCGCCGGCAGGCGTCCCCAGAGATAGCAGCCACTGAGTCTCCTGGTCTCCCAGGCAGGGGAGAGAAGAAGGGTGACCAGGCGAGGAGGGAGTCATGACGGAAACTGTGAAGGGTTCCTCGGATGCATTACGTCCATCTGTCTTGTCTGTCGTCTGTCTGTGTGTTCTCTTTGGTTGAAATTTTGAAACATTTTGTACCTGTTGATTTTATTTATCAGTTTATTTTTCTATTTATTGTTTTAAATGTAATTTAACATATTTATTATTAATATAATTATTTTTAAATTCTGGCTTGGTGGGTGATGTCCTGTTCTTAGGGAGTCATTTCCAGCATGGTTCTGGGTGGGAGTAGGGGAGGCCTACTAGAGGGAGGGGCTTCATTCTGGGAAATCTGGGGGTGGTTGTGGTTATCGTGACAAGTCTGTGACCATTTGTTTCTCTGCTCCGGGAAGCCCTGACCCAGAGCTTAAAGTTGCCAGGGATGGATGTGCTGTCAAAGGAAAGCCACAGGACAGCTGGAGTCCTGGATGCCGAAGGGGGATCTGGAAGGGAAAACTGCCCTAATGGGAACAGCCTGACCCTCCTGAGTTGGCAGGGGAGGGCAAGGTTGGGGGAGGGGAGGGCCTACATCAGACTTACCTTCTCTAGGACCCCCTGCTGACTTCCCTTCTGCCACCAGGCAGGTCCCTGGGGGTACTGATCTCCTTTAACACCTTGGCCCAGAGGTGGACCCTGGATCCTCCTTTGGCACCCCCAGCACGGCTAGATCAAGGCTAGAACTTTATACAGGACTTTGCTAAAAGCCCAGGAATAGCAAAAGGCAAAAACAGAGAGTAATATATAATCAACTCATCGGGCTTGCCTAGTTATTTTCCCAGAGAACTGCTCCCCAGGAATGGGCGCTTTGGGGCGCCTCTACCCTACCACAGGGGCGGGCCCTAGCAGAGTCACCACGTCTGAACACCTGCCTGGAAGCCTAGGGCCTGCACAGGGCTGCACAAGGCCCCACCTGGTGCAGTGTTGCAGGAGCTCCCTTTCCTTGTCCTGGGGCTGCCTCCCCCTCCTCTCGCCGGCCTCCCTGCCTCCAAGACTCCATTTCTGTCTCAGCCCCCTGAATGATTAAAGGAAATCCAGCATCTGCGATAAGCCACTCAGGGCCCAGGGGAGGAGTGGGAGCAGTTTGTCCAAGACTTAGGGACAAGCCTTCTTGTCTGTGGTCACTGTTTGTGCCCCAGCTCCCTGCCCCGAGGAGAAAGCCGACCTGTCCTCCTCACTAAGGAAACCGGCCAGGGTCGGGCCTACCCGATTCCCTCCCCACCTGCTGTCCAGGACAACACTGCCCGGGCTTCACTTCCGGGACTGCCCTCTACCCTGGGTGCGGATTGAACGGACCAGCTTCCAGACTTCCCCACCCCTGAATGTCACTGTCTTGTCAGGGAAATGGGCGAAGAGAGCCAGCAGGATGGGGCTTAGCAGGGTCCTGGGGTGGAGCTGCTGCTACTTTCCCAGAGCTGGCACCGGACCCTTCGCTCTACCTCCTTCTGACCTCTGGACGGGAGGGAGGGCTGCTCCAGGCTGGGTTCATCGCATGCACTCTGTCCACCCTGCAGTAGCGGATGATGTCTCTCCTCAGCCCACCCAGGCAGCTCCGTTCTGCTCTCTGCGTATCCTCCCCGCGCTAGTCCTACTCCTCCTTTGGGGGCCCCTAGTCAGGAGTGCTGGTTTCTCCAAACAGGAGGGCCAAGATGGGGGGTGGGGGCAGGTATGGCCGTGCCGGTGACTCACCGGTCTGCTCGGGCTCCTCCTGACGGTCGCTGCTGTGGGGGAGCCATGCTTGCGTCAAGAGACCAGGTTGTGGTTCTGACTCGGCTATGATCTCTGCTCTCTTGAGCAACTGGTCACCCCCAGCGGGCCTCGGCTTTTGCACCTAGAAAACACGGAGCTGGTTGTGAGAAGTAGCCAATGAGATGATGAACACACCACGTTGGGAAGGAGACAGCGGGCAGGCTGTGTGAACAACCCAGCTGTTCCAGAGGGAGAAACCACTGGAAGTCACCGCTCTCCAGTCCCTGAGACCCCAGGCCTCCTGCTGCGCCCCTGCTGACCAGGGCGAGGAGCAGCTGGCCTCCTCCTCTGGGGTAGCCAAGTCCTGGTGGCTCCCATGTGCGTGTTTGCGGAGCCTGGGGGTCCAGAAGACTTAGCCCAGGAATTGGCTCCCAGCCCAGTGTGGCTGCCAGCCTTCCTGCTCCCCTCCCCCAGGGTCATCGCCTCTGACCCACAAGATCAACTACAGGAATTTTCCTCTGGCGGGGCAGGCGGGGTGTGAGTGGACAGCTTTCCAGGCGGGAAGTGGAGGCTGGGAGGGATGCCCAGGAGGGCGACCACTGCTCCCGTCGGGGAGCCTGCCCTGCTGAGGTCAGGGTGTGGCGTCCTGATGGAATCATTTTACAGATCATCACCAACATCAGTGAATGTTTGCTGAGTGCTCAGTTCCCTGCTTTAGAAACAGGCCCTGCCCACCCCCTGGGCTGCCCTCAGGAAAGGACCAGAGCCAGCATCCTGTCCAGGAGTGACATTTCAGGTCAGACCAGGAGGGGCCCTCCCCAAGCCCACCCCTGGGTAATAACAGCACTCCACAATGGTATAAACACAGTTGGCTTTCCAGAGGGCCCTGTAGACTGTTTATCTCTCTCGGGCTCACCGGCCTGCATTGTTATCACGGCTGGGCAGAGGAGGAAACAGGCCGAGAGGTAAAGTGACTTGCTTCAGGCCATGAAGGTAATGAGTGGCTTGAGCAGGGGCTGCATCCCAGGTGTGTGGCTTTCCATGCCCCCACCTGGCCTGAAGGGGCTTCGTTCCCTCCGGTGGGCTGCAGGAAGAGCGTGTCGGGTGCTCTGGCCTGGAAGACTGGGCCTGTAGGAGTGTCTGCAGAGGCCACATTTCCAGTGCTTCACCTCAGGAATCCTCGTCAATTCCCAGCCGAATTCCCAGCCGGGGCCTTGCCTGGTGGACAGGTGAACGTGCTCCCCCTAGAGCCTGCCCCCCACCCTTCCCCCTTGACTTTGCTGTTTACATTTTTTTTTTTTTAATTTGAGTATAGTTGACACACAAGTTACATTCATTTCCGGTGTACAACTTAGTGACTTGACAAGTGTATACATGATGCTATGCTCGTGAGTGTAGCTTCCGTCTGTCCTGTCAGTTGCTCTTACAGGATCATTGACTGTCTCCCAATGCTGTGCCTGGTACTCCTGTGACTTACTACCCCGTAACTGGAGGTCTGTACCTCCCACAACCCTTCCCCCATTTTGTCCAACCCCCTACTGCTCCCCTCTGACAACCATCCATGTGTTCTCTGTATTTATAGGTCTGATTCTGCTTTTTGTTTGTTCACTTTTTTATTTTTATTTTTTTTAAAAAGACTTTATTTATTTATTTGACAGCCAGAGAGCGAACACAAGCAGGATTCCCACTGAGCAGGGAGCCCGATGCGGGGCTCGATTCCAGGACCCTGGGAACAAGACTGGAGCCGAAGGCAGACGTTTAACAACTGAGCCACCCAGGTGCCCCTAATCACTTTTTTTAGATTCCATGTACGAGTGAAATCATATGGCATTTGTCTTTCTCAGTCTGACTTATTTCACTTTGCATGATACCCTCTGGGTCTACCCATGGTGTCACAAATGGCAGGACTGCATCCTTTTTATGGTTGCATAATGTTCCATTGTATATGCCACATTTTCCTGATCCACTCGTCCATTGATGAGCACTCAGGTCTGCCCCCTTTCCTCCTGCAAGGCCTCGGAATGGCTCCTGTTCTGTCGATGGCTGTGCAGGAATCGGTCCAACCCTGCCTGGCCCCGCCGCCCTCCCCTGACCTGTGTCTGGGCCTCACAGGAGGCTGGCTTAGGCTGGGCCAGGGCTTCTCTGAGCTCTGGGGTGCTCTCTGAGCAATACCTTAAAGGGGAGTCATACTCACAGGGGAAGGGGTTTTTATAACGAGGGACCCCCGGACTCCAGAAAGGAGGCTGAAGGGAAGGGAGAGCTGCAGCTGGGGCGGAGGGCCTGTGTGGAGCCCCAGGGGCTCTGTATCTGCAGAATCAGACTCCAGGATAGAATCTCGTGGTTCAGCTGAGCTAAGAGCCGTCCAGGGATCCTTTTGACAGGATTCTTGGAGATATCTATCAGGTTTTTGTTCACATGCTTCCCGGGAGGGGGAGATAGCTATCTCAAAAGTCCTCCCTCCTGTCAGTGTTATGATGTCCCTAAATGCCTCTCATTAGGGCCTAATTCTGCTCACAGATCCACACATGGCCATCTGGTCCCTCTGCCAAGGGTGCTGAACTTTGAAACTTGGCATCACCCCTTACTCACAACTGCACTCCTTTGTGCTTCAGTTTCCTTACCAGTGACAGAGCAATAATAACAGTCCCTCTCTCATGAAATCGCTGTGAGGATCAAAATAAGAGAATGTCTGCCCAGCACGAACCATGGCAGCTGGTGCATAGTAAGTGCTCAGTAAATGGCAGATACTTTCACCAGAACATGGTTCTTTCTGGCATAACCAGAAAGGTATCCACTCCTCTGTCCACCCCTCTGTGCTCTAGTTTGACCCAGAATGGAGTGCATTACCCAGGCTTGACCCTCCCCTTCCCTCAGCCCAACGTCTTCCTTGTTCTAGACATTATACTTCTCCTAATGTGACCCAAGTTAGCACTCCCTTCACTGGCAACTTCTGGCTCTTGGGACCTTAGAGCTGGCCTGAAACCACCAGCTCTTTCCATAGGGACGAGCTCATCCCCGGCCCCCATCTGATACTAGAGTCCTTGGCTTGTTACTTCAAAGTCCGAACTGTCCGTTCATCCAGGTGACATTGCTTCTTGGTCGTTGGGTCTGTCCTGGAATTTAGAGGTACCAGCTCTTGCCATGAACATGGAGGTGACGGGAGAGCATAGATGGGGGCTGGAAGCATCAGAAAGAAGGGTCTGGGAGGGGGTTCTCCATGGACCATGGAGCATGAGGCTGCATCACTGGGGCCTTCAGC